TGGCATGCCCTCGCGCCCGCCCACCGGTGGACCCGGCGGACCGCCCGGCTCAGGTGGCCCGCCCAGCGCACCGCCAAGCAGCGGCACGCCCACGCCCGGCGGCAAGCCGCCGATCGCATCGCTCGACGATCTCCTGAACCGCCCGCCAAGCGGCCGCCCCGCCTCGGGCACCGCGAAGAAGAAGCGCGCCGCGAACCGATACGTCGACGTGTTTAACAAGGAGTGAGCCGAGCGGCCGAGCGAAGCGAGGCGCACGAGGTCGCCTGAGGTCGCCCCAGGTCTTGCATTCTCGCACGGCAGGGGCGTGCAGCAAGACGCGTGTCAGAGCACGGTGCGCCCCAGCAATCAGTATCAGAATCAGAATCAGAACCAAGTATCAGCATTCAACAACCAGCATCAGTATCCGTGTCATAGAGGGCGGAGTAGTATAGAGAACGTGAGATTAATCAGACCGTCAATTGAGACGATGACGGTGACGAGACAGAAATAGGAGATTAGGAGTATCCAGAAACGTAATGAAATGCATGAGGCTACGAGACCGCTGTAGTGCTGTGGGTAGTGAGTGAAGCGAGCATTGACTTGCGCTGTGAGTGTTTGGTTTGTGATGGTGTGTAGGTGAGGTGCCCGCGGCCGTAAAGGCTGATCAGCAGATCAGCATGTGAGTCTCTGACACGATGCCGCACCGCCGTTTTACGGGATTGCAAGCGCGCAAGCGAGGTGAGCACCGTGTAGTGCTATAGTGCTGGAACAGGGAGCCGCTTCGAGAACGTAGCAAAGCGCACACAGCCGTAAAGGGTGATCAGCAGATCAGCATCCGAGGCTCTGAAACGATGGTCGCACAGCGGATGTCTCATGGTGACGCCGAGCTGCACATGGACCGTGTGTGGCACTGTGAGATTCAGAGAAGGCAGCAGAACATTGAGCTTAGTGTTGTTTATCGCGCGTAGACTTCGTGTAGGCTTTGCGCGAACGTCCCGCGAAACTTACCGAAGACCAGTATACAGTCCCATGGAAGCCGCCGAATCGGCCGCTCTTCTCGTAAGCGGCGCCGTAAAGATGCGCGTGTCGACTTGCGTAGCCAGCTGGAAGTCGTTGAGGAACCGGACCACAACCTGCCGCTGCTGCCGTACGCCGCAGGCGTACAGCCAGATTCCAACGCGACGAGTTTGCGACAAGCTGGAAAGTCAACCTTATCTGAAACGTGTCTTCCACCCTATCCCTTTCCTCCATCGTGGACACGCCTGAAACCAGCAGCCTTGGATAGGCAGTGTTGGGCCCCTTGAAACAAGCGTTACTGGGCGGAGGGCGCGGAGACTTGCGGAGCTTATCGTGAGCCTGATACAGCGGAAGAACGTATAGAACGTGCAGAAGGTCGCAACATTGCAGGAGCAGGACTCCTCTCACACACCAGGGGTGCGTCGCTCGGAATCAAAGGCACCTGGGTGCGGATAACGACATGAGTCTGGGCTTCTTCTGGCCCCTTAGCTCCTTGATGCTGTTCGCTGTTCGCTGTTCGGTGACGGTCCAACAGCCCTCGATTCGGACCACCACGACGGCACAGCGCACAGAGGGATGTCACGAGGCACATCTCCACACTGGCCAGACTCCAGCACAGCAGTAAGGATTGCCGGATCGCCGCCAGGAGAGCACGGTAAGCATAGCGTTATGCTTCTGAGGCATCATCCCTATCTACGATATTCCAAGTTCAGACCGAGGAGATCCCAGCGGCACGAGCGGGGCAACACATGTGCTGTAAGGCGGGACGAGCTTGTCATTGTCTTCGCGGCCCCGTAACCGTGCTAGCTGTCGCAAGCTCACTAGATCGCACCTTGTCATGAACGCCCGTCACGCCCGCGTCAGCACCTCGGGCTGCCAGTGGACGAGGGGCGAAGTCTGGGACCCGAGCGGGCGATATGCGCACACCTTAAGGACACTGCTGTTGCGTCGATACAAGCTACCGTCGCTCAGTGCGTTGCAGACGCCGGCGCGATTCGTCAAGACGACAGCTGGCGACATCAGGTGAACTCTGATAACGCCCGACAACGCCTCCGCACAGTCTAAACTCCAGACAGCGCCGCGTAGAGACAAAAGCTTCAACTCTGATTACGGCTTATCGCCTTGGGTCCTCGGTCCTCGGTTCTGCACCTATGTCAGGCCGCGGGGTCGTCTCCACCTCTTGACACCTTCCTGCATCTCGACCATGGGCACATGATCTCCTAGCCACGTAACCTCGGTGTCTAGATCCTCTGCGTCGCCCAATTCATGCAGGGCACGCACCATGCACCATGTGTTGCACTGTGTGCTGCGTTACACTCGGGCTGGCAGGTTGTTGCTAACATGCATTATGCACGACCCTTCTGCCCTACTCACCCTGCGGCTGATCAGCCCCCCTTGTTCCCTCATGAACGCCTCGCTGGCTTCGCTACCCACGCAACTATCCGCAGCTGGGTGCGAGTAAGCTTTACGCCAGCTCTACGCCAGCTCTACGCCAGCTTCAGCCATACAGCCGGGCAGACGCCGCAGCACATGCGCCCCACCCTCTTTCCGACGGGTCCATGGACTGCCCCACCTGCACCACTTGGCGATCTACCGAGTTGGCTCTCCCATCAGATCTCGCGCATCTCGTGCATCCTGTGATCTCGTCCGCTCATCCCTTCCTCGACGTGCCTCACTCTGCAAGCATACTCTGCACATTGCTGCGGATTTGGGCATGCGTGCATCTTGGCAGGTCATCTGACCTTCCTCCCCGGCTTCTCTTCATCCGCACTGACGCACTCGCGCACCAGCGCACTAGACTTCGTGGCATCGTCATCCGCGGTCTGCCTGCGTAGCGCAGTCTAGACACACTGACGTACCGTCGGTCCGGTTGCCGCTTGCGCTCTCGTATCGGCGCCAGTCTTAGTGTCATTACGTCCTGCAGTAGTCTACCCATCTCCCCGCCTTCGCACATTACGTTCACTACGAGCTACGAGCACTACGTACTGCTCCTCTAGCGATCTAGTGCCAGATCGGTATCTCGGTGTTCACGATTCCGCCTGCGACTATCTCTGAGCAGCATGAGCTGACCCGAGCACTGACGCACACCCCTTGGCCCCTTGCATGATGGCCAAACAACGTCTAAACGTCCAAAACGCATTAACGTGGTTCTCTCGTACATTGGCGCACGTACGCTTAAACCCGCAGAGTTAGATCAATCATGCATGCATCCCATGCTTGCGCCCCGCCCAGTGTCAGCTGCGCAGCCTGCGCCCCGCATGCGCCCCTACCCCTCCGCTCGATCCGCGGGGCGCGCGGGGCCTCACATGCTCCGTCCGCGACAAAACTGCCCCCCTTTTCACGCCGACTTCCGCATACGGTATCCCGAGGGCCGAGGGATCCGAGGGTGGCCGATACGCCAAAGTTTACGCCAGACGGTGAGCCCCGAACGCCCCGCACATCCCAATTTCAGCGTCTCTTACCCCTTCTGGCAACTCGTAGAAGTTACCCCTGAGTAACCCCCCTGTCTTTCCTGCCGGAAGAGGAAGGATGCATGCTCGAGTGACTGACCCCGCCTGATCGACCGTTTCATCTGGCCTCGGAAAAGCACGACCACTGGTTGACTTGGTTTCTGGCTGCGCGGCTGCTTGACCTCGAAAAACTTCCGCGCCACGGAACAACGTAACACGTTTTGGTCTGAGACACCGACCACCCTCACCGAACGCGGTCCTCCACATTCCTCTGCCGGTTCCAGCATTCCAACCCCAAACGTCACATTCCGCAGCGCGAGTCTGGCCCAACGCGTCTCAAGCCCAGTGTCAGCCAGATTCCAGCTGCACCGATTCCAGCATCCCAGACATGGCAAGCACGTTGTAAACGATCATAATCATATACATTGCAGGTCGTTAACCAACTACCAGATGAGATACGTGGATTGAGAGCGAGACATGATGCAAAACTTGAGGAAACTAAGAGACATTTTCGACGAGAGAGCGAGAGAGCGGAAACCAATGCTAGTAATAATGTTGAGTTGATATGCGGGGGAGGTGGTGGAACCAAGGGTGTTATCGTCGGGGCCAGCCCGACTCTAAAATTCGATGTTTAAATCTTCTACTGCCACTGCTGGTGCTGGAATTCACCGCCGTACCCGGGAGTCGTGTACACGGGGACGGGCTGGAACTGCATCAGACCGGGCTGGCCCATCATGACCTGCTGCTGCTGGCAAACCATCATGTCAGGGCCGACGGCCGGGGCCATGTACTCGGGGACCTGAGGGAAAGAAGCCTGCGCAGGGGTGCACGGGGTGCTCGGGCTGAGGCCGAGCGAGTTGCCAGCCGACAGCTCCGAGGGCGTGTCAGAGACAGCCATGGACAGAGGCGAGAGACTAACGGGAGGAGCAGCGCCACCAGCGGTGGAAGCCGGCGCGGAAGCAGATCCCGGAGTAGCCTCGGTCGGAGTGGCTCCTCCAGAAACAGGAGTACCGATGGGGGGAGCGTCCTCCGGGCGGAAGGGGGTGATACCAAAGGCGGAAGCACCGAGGCGGATGTGAGGCGAAGGGCGCGATCCGTGGGTCGATCCAGCCCGGTGCAGAGGGCTGCCACGCTGGGGCGAACCACCGTTTGATCCCTGGTAGGAGCGGTGGCGGGTCAGCGGCGTCACGGGAGACGGACGACCGGGGCTCTGGCGCTGGCGAGGAGCAGGTCCGAAAGAAGGCTGCTGCTGCGCCGAGTACGGGTTGAACATCTGCGGGGAAGACTGCGAGCGAGCGCGGACGGCCATGGGGAGGCCAGCGTGCTGCAGGGGAACGCCCATGACGCCAGGGTGCATCATGGCGGGGTCGATCATGTACGGGTGGTGGCTAGGACCAGCCATAGGGAAAGCCTCGCGAGGGAAGTCCATGGTCATGGTGGAGTATGACCGGATGAGACCGGGCATGAGCGGGGGCATGGAGGTGTGCGGGCGGCGAGTGTTGGGCATAGGGCGGCCCTCCTCAATGCGGCGGCGCTTGACACCGTCCCACCACTTGGACGAAGCCTGGAAGTGGGGGTGGCCAAGGCGAAGGCCAACCTTGAGAGCCTCTTCGCGCGCCTCAGAGTCGCGGACGTCACGGCCCTGCATGACGGCCTCGTCAAGCCAGCGGTGCATCTCCTCCTCGATCGCGGGGTAGCGGCCACCAGGGCGGCGAGCAAGAATGGCGGCAGCATTGGGCTGCTGGGGGTCGAGCCAGCGGTCCTCCTGGTTCAAGATCTTCGAGATGGTACTCCGGTCAACAGAGTATTCCTTCGCGATATCCTCCTGGCGGATCTTGCCCTGCGAGTTGCGGTAAATCTCACAAATGCGACGCTTGTCGTCAGGCGTAAGCTTGCGCTTGCGGCGGATTTGGGTCTTGTCGACAGTGGCGACGGCGGTTTCCGGAGGAGTGGCACCGCCCGAGCCAGGAAGAGTTGGCGAAGCACCAACAGCAGCGGGGCTGAGCGTTCCGCTGCCGGGAACCTTCTGCGCCTCAGTGTAAGCCGTTGAAGGGTCGAAGGGGGCGACGGTGCCATAGGATCCGGCCTCAGGCGACTGGTTGGAAGACGTGCTCTGGATGGCGAGAGCGGGCTCGAGGTACTGGGGAACGGTGGCGGCCGAAGAAATGGTAGTGTTGTAGGGAACAGGGGTGGACAGGTCGTAGACCTGCGGCTGTTCAGATGAAGTGGAGGCGGCGTCGGCGGCCTGCTGCTGGACAGCTGGCTTGGTGTCGACAAGCGACTCCTCGTGCTGGTTGGTGAACATGGCCATGAAGTCGACCTCCTCCTTGGGAGGAGCGGCGTAGTAGACAGCGGAAGCCATGGTGAGAGGTGGGAGAGATGCACGAACTTGCTATCGACCGGCGATGAGAAATTCGTTCGTTAATGCAGAGTCGTAGAGTAGATGACCTGCTGTGGAAGGTGTGAGCGACGAGGGTCTCGTCGATCCGAATGTACGAACAATTCGTGGAAGGGTAATCGTGATTGAGCTAATGCAATTTGGGGCCCTCAGTAACCGAAGACTGAAGAGTGCCAGAAGGACGCGTGTGTGGGTGCAATGGAGTGCGTAGATGGACCGCGGGATGGGGAACTGTGTGTGCTGTATGCTTGTCGATTGGGTCGATGCTGTGATATGCAGGCAATGCTGGACGGGTGTGAGCGGACGGTTGGAAACGCGAGAACGCGAGAGAATAGGAAGAGTCGGACGGGATAGGAGGTCTGGTGCAGGGAGAGGCGTCGCTGTGACTCACCGACGATCGATTCAACCCGGGATCTGACCGCTGGGATGCTATGACTTTGAATGCCTAGATGGGTGCTGAGGCGTTCACTTTGTATGAATGCAATCAGCCGTGGACTGGGACTGATGTGTGTTGTGTCTGGGCGGCGCTACAAGCATAATGTCAGCAAGCATTCAACCCAAACCACCAGGCGTTGTCGAAGGAAACCGAAAGGGATGTCCAGGCACATGCGTGCTACAACCCCATTCCGTGCGTGTTGGATTTTGTGAAGGGGCTAGAATTTCAAACTCTACGTACCCGTTATCTCTCTTGATAGGCTTCAACTTGCGATGAGAAGAATGCTAGAGAACACCGCAATTGACTTTTGGGTAGGGGGAGATGATGTTAAAAGCGGTTGATGAGGGTTGACGGTGATGGAACGATGGGTGGTGTGATGGGTGATGGTAGGGGATGGGGGATGAACTGATGGTGCGTTGTGACTACCTCGCTTCGTGTTGGGGTCGTCGAAGGGAAGTCGCGGTTCTAGCTCTGCTAGAAGGGCGATAGCGAGGTGAGGGTCGCTGGTGACGAAGAAGAAGAAAGGTTCGTACTGTTGCGCGCGGCGGGGGATAGCGTCGAGCTGTCGTCTGCCGGGATGCTGGGTGGTCGTAGCAGCAATGCGAGCTTGAGCAAAGTATCGAAGGGGGTAGAACGAAGAAATGGATTCTATGAACAGAGATTAGCAGAAAGAGTTAAGAGACGTGGGCCTGCCGCGTTCTTGTGCTTTTGATAACCTCGTAAGAAGAGTGGGAGCTGAACGAAGGGGGGACGAAGGAAGAAGAGAGGTGGAAACACTGCAAGATGAAGGTGGTCGAGGAAGACAGCGAGGTCGCTCGGTGTAGGGTGAGGGGATGCGGTATGGGGTGTGTTGGGTGCGGGTGTGTCTGAGTCTGCGCTGGGCTGCGCTATGCTGGCTGGGCTGGGCTGGGGTCAGACGCATGCGAGCCGAGCCTCTGCGTGTTGGCCGTTTGGCCGTTTGGACAGTGTGGGCCGAGCGCGCGAGGAAAGAGGGAGGCGACGCGCAGCGCCCCAGGACGCCTGGCGCCATGCAAGCCCAGGCAGCTCAGGAAAGGTCTGGTCAGGTCGACTGGATGCAGGACGCAGGACAGTCGCAGAATGTCAGGTCGCGCTGGTCAGGGCACCGTCCAAGGGCTGGGACGCAGGACCCAGGAGCGAGCAGTCTCAGGATAGGAGCACGGAGGCGAGGGCGCGAGCAACGCCGGCCAGGGGCACACACTGCTGCTCATATGCTCATGCTGCTCATTCTGCTCAGCCGCTGTTGCTGCAGTGCTTCAGGCGCTCTGCGTCTGACAGATTGGCGTACTGGCGTCCGATCCCCCGCCCACATCCCACCCCCTCCCACACCCACCGCTCGGTATCGCGTGGCTGCATTGGCCCGCCCCGCCCACCGCCCAGCGGTAGTTGGCCCACTCAGACACTGAATGGCGTCGCGACTGAGACTCGGAGTGCTGGTCCGCCTCGCCCGCCCCGCGGGATCATTTTTAGGTCGACGCAGATGTCTATGCATACAGACATGTCTCACTGATCACAGACAGTTTGATAGGCGTCGCACTGCGCTTGCACTGTATTGCAGACCGCCAGAACACCCAAAACAGCAAGAACACGGCGCAGGGACCGAGGCAACCGTCAACTGTCAGATGTCAGACGAACCGCAGATTCGCGAAGAAGCTTTTGCGCAAGCGACAGACACTGTCGAGGGCGCAGCTGCAAGACAAGCGCGGGTCCTTCCGCCCCAGACCGCTATCCCCGCATGGTCAGCGGAGAGGTCGCTTGCGGCTAAGCCTGAGCGTCCAAGCGCCGGCCGGCCCCTAGGCTGAGCGGTTCAGCGGGCGATGGGCGCTGCTGGCGTACTGGGCTAATCCCTGCAATAGATCGGGGGTTATCAAAACTGAGGGTCATTTAGAATAGTGGTTAATGTTTTGCGTGGTTGGTACCTAGCTAGCGTCGAGCGTACCTCATTGTGCCTCGTACTACGTGCAGTCTGTACCTGCCCGCGCGCATGCGCAGAGCGAGACGACCCAGGGCCACGACCTAGCAGAGGAGCTAGTCGAGCTAAAGGACGGGGCAGGGGAGGGCAAGGGAGGTGCAGAAACTAAGGACCTGAAACCCATGAAGGAATTTGGTTTGCGTGAATATGATTCGATCAGATCGTTGGAATCATCCTCGTGTCCTGCTCGCGTCGCTCTCTCCTTGACAACCGACCCACTGCCAGTCAGCCTTGACCGCGACGGGACTTTCAGGGTTCCAGGGCGAGCCAGGGTCTGCGGGGAGGTCCCTGGTACTCCCTGCTGTTTGAACGTTCAACAGATGCGAGGGCATCAATCAAATGACCAGCCGTGACGTAGCGGGCGTACGGTGGTGGTGCAGCAACCAGCGAAAACCGTCTCATCGGCATAACGCAAGGCATGCTGCACTGCAATCACGACCATTCAGCCGAGCCTAACACCCGCTCTTGCTCGCATACACGCAGGAAATCAAAATCCAAACAATTATTCGGCCGCGTACAGCTCGCGATTACAGTTCGCGAGCAAACAGACGCAAGAGGCACCCTTGGGACGAGCGGATAATCTGTGTATGCTGTCATGGCCGTGTCACTACAGCGATAAGCCGTTGTGCCCTGCGTTGTACTAGATGTCCGAATGCCGTTGATATGAGCAGGTGAAATGAATCGTTACCCCTATCGAACCCTAAGGACGACCGTGCGCTACATTACGCCGATTCCATACCAAGGGTAGGCCTGGGACCCGTTTCAAGAGAATGGGGTCAGATGGACGGAGAACCGCTACCGCAACGCATTGTGGTTGGTCAATGTGTTCCAGGCTAATGAAGGATTAAAGGATCAAGGACAGTGCGGGTACTTGCCATGATTGACTGGCTTAGACCAATTACTGTCCGGACCCCTCTCTTGCGCGAAAGCCTCCCCGCCACGATGGATACGGCATAACCGTGATTGCCGTACTCGCCGTGCTCGCCATGCTGGGCAGCGCTGACCCCTCTATGCCGTGGGAATCAAGAAAAGGTTTCAAAAATTACCAAAATGTCACGCCTCCCTGCGAACCCTAATCATGGGCGAGGAGGTCTGAAGCGGTTCGGAGAACAAGACCGGATTTTCAGTCGCTCAATTAGACACAGAGTACGAAGTTTTGGATGACAGCATCCTCATGTCAGGCAGCTGGAGTTACCAGAGTGCCAGCGTGCTCGGTCCGCTGTCTGGATATACTCGATAGCGGGGCCTAGGTCTGCTTAGGGTCAGTGTCTGGCCCCCTCTGTGACCCCCTTTCCCCTTCCCCGTCTGGACCTATCAGGAGCTACAGGAGGTACAAGGAAGTACATGAAGAGAGTTTGCTTCCATCGATTCCTCGCGATCCGCAATTCCATGCGATCCACTCGTAACCGAACGTGCTCGGCGCTTTCCTGCTGCGATGCCGTACCTTTGCACGACGTGCTCCCCCTTTGCGCGGCCGCGCAGAAGACGAGGGAAGGATATGCCTGAATGCGTCGGACGGGCAGCATACATACTACCCTCTCACTCACTGAATGGCGCGCAGCAAGCGGGCAGCGCGCAACCCGTCGGGTGACAGGCGGGTACCAGAAACATAACGGCGGCGGCGCCATGCCGCCAGCCGTCGTCGGGTCTTGCGACAGCACCTAGCATTGCAATGTAACCCCGCGGTGTACCACGCATTCTATTCGCTACGTCGAAACTTTCTCCTCCCCGCCACGTCTCGATGCGCCTCGAATGCGTGCGTACTCTCATCCGCATCGTCTTCTCATCATGAGCGTTCATTTGACTCGCGCCTCCTGGGGGTGGTCTCGGAACGGACGCCAGCGAGGGCGGCAAAGAGATTACAGGAAAGAAAGCTTTACCTCGAAGCTACGAAGCTACTGGGTATGGCCTTGACGTCGTGCTCCGGTTCCACAGGGAGATGTACGCAGCCTGCTTCCGCGCGGGCGTCCCGAGCTGCCCTCTTGCTTTTTCGTTGAGAGTTTGGCAGCATGAGTGCACCTTACCTCTGAAGGCTCTGCATGATCCTCAACTCTGTACGGCGCCGTTCCTTGGTACTGGGTTCTCTACAGGATGGTACGGCGTTAAGCCTTATGGAGGACTTTGGGCGGGGACCGGAGCATGCACCCAGGACCGCCAGGCCCGCATCGAGGGAAACCTTAGGGCTGTTGGCTTCGAGATGAGCTCCAAAGCTGGCGTCACCTGGCCAAGTGGGCGTACTGGCGCGACTGGCGTGCTAGGCTGGCCGAGCAAGCGACTCCTGGGAGCGTGCGAGAGCCTGCGTACGCCCATGTAAAGATGCGCGAGCGGAGCTCGCACGCAGCGCAATCGTATGCAGATTATCAAGCGACCCGGTGACTGGTTCGGCCGATCAGCATCGGTCAAATTACCAGAGCAGTGGGTGGAGCGAAAACCAGGATTCAATGGGCGACCCTCAACGACCCTCACAAGCCCTCACCCCCAAAAGTCAACGCGGTTCGCAAGCGATGCGAAAAGAAATCAATCTCCAAGCAGCGCCTT